TTTTTTTTTTTTTTTGGTACCGGGGATCGAACTAGGGACCTTTCGCTTGCGAGGCAGGCAGCGGAACCACTGAGCTAAATCCCCTGCCTTAAAAATTACATTTTTAAAGAATTCTTTAATCCCACTCAAACAAAACTTTAACTTCTGCTATGGTTAATTGAGATGTCTGTTCTTTGTCCAGGAATGGGGGAACTTGCAGGGCTGCTCTGAGTAAGTCACGCTGCCAGTGACCCTGGGGGAGAACAGCACTTCGGCTGCCTGTTTATGTTCTTTTTTTTTTGTACTGGGGATTGAACTCGGGACCTTGCATGGAACCACTGAGCTAAATCCCTAGCCCTGCCTGTTTGTGTTCTGCTCACTGACCTGAAACAAAAGCTACATGTCAAACAAAGTCTTGAGACAGTGAGAAAAAGGAATTCTTTAAGAAGCTATGGGGGCCGGGGATTTAGCTCAGTGGTTTCATCACCTGCTGTGCAAGCGCAAGGACCCGAGTTTGATCTCCGGTGCAAAAAAAGAAAAAAACCCCTGTGTATTTAGCCAGATGTGGCAGTGCCTGCCTGTAATCCCCACACTCTGTGAGGCTGAGGCAGGAGAATCCCTACTCTGAGCTCAGCCTGGGCAATTTAGCAAGACCCTGTTTCAAAAAATAAAATAAGCCAGGGGTGGTGGCACATGGCTGTAATCTCAGCCCTCTGGAAGGCTGAGGCAGGAGGATGACCCAGCATGGGCAATTTAGCCACTTGCCTCAAAATTTTAAAAAGGGACTAGGGAGGTAGTTCAGAGTGAAGGCTCTGGATTCAATTCACATTGCTACAAAATAATAACAGCGAAATGAGGCTGAGGATGTAACTCAAAGTGAAGGACCTGATTCAATACTCAGTACTATCAAAAAAAAAAAAAGGGGGTCGGGGATTTAGCTCAGTGGTTTTGCTGCTTGCTGTGCAAGCACGAGGACCGGAGTTCGATCCCCGGTACTTAAAAAAAAAAAAAAAACCTCTGCTCTAGATTGATAGAATTTTTCAAGTCATGAACAATGAAGGCTTGAAAGGGCATTGACTTTGCCACTTGAAACTGAGAAGGTGGTTTACTCAGGAAGGGGATATTCTTTAGAAGTACCTAAAAGTATTCTTAAAATACTTTATCCTTCCCTCTGGCATTCTCCTGAATTTATCCTATCTTTTTCCTCTTGCTCTTCTCAGACCCAATAAAGAGAAAATCTTACAGGAAAGCCCAGAGTTTATTCTCTCAGGGCTACACTGGAACTACCTCATCTGACGTACCTTATTCTTTTTTTTTTTTT